GTGCTGAGTGCAAAGCAGAGAGCCCACTGTGGGGAAATCCACTCACCCTGTTTCTAGGAATCAAACTTGAGGGAGGAAGAGATGGGGTCTGACCACCCACTCGCAGCGCATGTTCACAGTGATTGACATAAATTTCAAAGTCTCCAGGTCCTAAGTGATCTCCCACTCCCCAACAGCCCATGGGGTTGCAGAACAACCTTAGCATACATCATTTTGGGAGGTCAATTATGCACACTAGTCATTCTATCCCTGACCACAAAGCTGTCACATCTGTCTCATAAGGCAGAGCACATTCAGGCCTCATCCTGGAGTCCCTAAAGTCACAAATCCTCCAGCAGAGCCCAGAAATCCAGGTGGACCCCAGGGCCCTGTGCATGCTGGAGCCTACTCTACAGTAGCCACACCCCAGGCCTGTGGTTTTAGTTTGTGAAAAACAGCTGCACAATGTGGGGAGAAAGGAGCAGAGGTCAGCGTGTCTGACCACTACAAGATTCTACAAGATTCAGGGAACTCTCTACCATGTGCCTTAAAATCAAAGAGGGGTCCCATACTCCCAAGTCCTATGGCAGGGGTGAGTACTCCCATTGAGAAGGAAAAAGACAGAGACATGTTGAAGGGGACTGAAACCCAGCAGGCCTGACAGTAAACCCAGTGCTCCAATTCTGTCCTCAGGGCCACTGTGGGGGACAGGGGTGAGGGCTCTAGGCAGCCCCACTACACAGTCCAGCTGGACGCAGCCCCCTGACCTCACACTTAGCCTCCCTCTGCTGTTCTTCCTCTGAGTCTGGTGCTGGTTCCTTTCATCATGGAAAGTGCTGGATTTCGCCCAGTGGTATACTCTAGGTTAGTTGAGATGCTCTTGTGACATTGGCCTCTGCTGTGCTGAGGAGGGAACCACAGTGGGCTGCTCCTTTAGCTGTCCCTGCACCCCAGGCAGGTGGCCCCTGTCAACGTGCTGCTCTCTCACTGTGCCCTGCCCTTCAGCTCCAGCCTGCCAGGACTTCTCTGCAGAGTTCCAGCCCCTAGTTCATCATGGCTGTTGGACTGCAGTTGGCCTCACTGTGCTCATCTGGGTTTTGGACCAGCCTGTGTCTGGCCTCCTAAGGTGGTTTCCAATCAGTTCTCCTCTCATGTGTTGCAGGACCATCCCAAGGTCCCCGGCCCTGGCTCTGCTCCTCCATTCATTGTTAGTCACCATCAGTGCATCCTGCCATGTCTCTGTGCCTGCTGTTTACTTCTCCCAGGTGCAGTCCTGGCAGACCTGGTGGGACCTGGCCATCCCCCTGTCCTGTAGTTGGCTGTGGCATCATGGCTGTGGGCAGAGGGGCAGAAGGGAAGCCGTGGGCAGGGTGACCTCTCTGGGGAAGGCAGGTGAGGACGTGGACTGGACCTGAGTGCTGCTGGGCAGGCTGTCTGCATGGCCACCCTGACACACTCAGGCAGGAGTGGGGGCTGGGCCTCAGGACTGTGTCCTCTGCAGCTCTCCTCTGACTGCAGCTGCCCAGCCAGGCCCTGTAGGGTGAGCTTCCTACATGGAGGGCATCTGTGGTCATGGGATGCCATGTGCTCACAGAACCACCAGCTGATGCTCAGTCACAGACCTGGACATTGTGGTGTGGCAGGTGGACCTCAGATCCCTGTGTTACGTCAATTTTGTGATTTTAAAAATACAAAGAAAATGTTAGTACCAGCTTTGAGATTCTAGGAGGTGTTTGGTGTCATAGGGAATCACCTGCCCTGGAAGTGGGGCATCAGAGAAATCTTGGAATAGATGAGGTGGTTTTCTTTTACTTGGGGAATTTCTGGGTTAAATCATGGCTATGAAGCGAGGCCATCTTCACAGGAGAAAGCTCATTTGCAACAAATAGTGGCCCTTTTAAGTCTTCAATCATGATTTTGGGGAAAGGCAGTGAAGGCCTGCTCACAGGCAGCAGCAGCTCTTACTCTCTTACTGCTTCCCAGGACTCCCTGGGCCTCCCTGGCAGCAGCTCAGATGGGGAGGACGTGGGAAATGGAGTTTCCTAACAGCCTCCAGAACAGAGAAGGGAGGATGGGGTGGGAGGGGAGAAGTGCACACCTGGGGGCCATGACCACAGAACAAGAGACACCACCACACACTGGCTCCCCCTGAAGCTGGGCACCAGGCCTGGTCACTGCTCCACAGGCTCCACACCCTCACCAGGTCTGAAATACAGAGATAGTTAGAAAGTGTTTTGAAAACTTACACTGCAACAAAATGGAGAGACCTTTTAAAATCCTGAACTGTAACTGGATTACAGATTTACATTTGAAGCACAAGCCCACATTTTTTAGAAGAAAAGAAAATGATCTTTGAATACCTCAATCTGACAGTGAATTTTCACATACAGCTCTAGAATCCAATGCCCAAAATTATAGTCTAACAGACATGAACTGGAACCCTCCGAGATGAGGAAGAACTTAAAGAATAGTGCTCTCCCCGGCCGGCCCTTAGGGCCCCAGGCAGGGCCTTTCCATGATTTCTCTGCTTCTGCAAGGAGCTCTGACTGATGCTCCTGGGCTGTTCCCATTATGATTTTCACTTCTCTGTGACTTTAGTCCCTTCCTAGGAACGTTTATGCAGTTATAATTCTGGGCATAGCATAGGTAACTGTGAAGTTAAAAGAATAATAAAGACTGACTGAAGTGGATTGAGCTGTGTTAATGCCATAATACTGAATTCCATGGTCCCCAAATTAACTTGCAAACAAGAGTAATTTCATGTTTGATAGCCCAAAGTTAAAATGCTAAAAATCAACTAACTTACAACCTATGTCCTCAAACAGTAATGTAAAATCATAAAAAGTACAATTAGTTACATTTCCAGCAGGAGGTGAATTGAGGAATCTCCCAAACACGGAGAGCATTTCTGGGTCACTTTGCAAAATAACACACACTCAGATCCACACACTCAGGTGCAAGACACTCTCAGCTGTGCACATGATGTTCACACCTGAGTGACCATCAGTGCACCACAGGAACATGAAAAAGAATGTGAAGCTTGTCCTGCTCCAGACTTCTACAGCAAGAGTGTCCCACACCTGGAGGCCATGTCACACTCCTCAGCCCTGGGAGCAAGGCCAAATCTCAAATTCAAAGCTCTTGTATTTCTGCAGTTGTTCATGGACCCAAGCTACTTGAGAAAGTGATTCCCTCCCAAGGCCCAATTACCTGAAGAGTTTCTCCCCCCATCCTCTTGTGTCTGTCTCCTGCTGTGAATACAAGTTCATCTGAGCAGCTAAGGAAGGTCACAGTCCCTGCAATGTCTGTGCATTGTGATTTCTGTGTTTGCAATGATCCCCAAGTCTGTCCCTGGTGCAAGGTGGATGTGCTTAGAAAGGAAGCAGGTGAGTTACAGGAAATTTTCTTCTAAATATAACTGACAGCAATTTTGGCCATGGGTCCTGTGTTGTTGGTCTACCAGGGGAATCACCCATGAACTGGAGGAGTAATCATCTGAACTGAGATAAAGGGCGCTCAGGAAAATTCCCAAGAAACAAGCATCACTGGTGCGGAAGTCATTGAGGAGACTGAAGAGACCAAGATGTTGGATCCATGAAATCTTGATCAACACAGAAATGAATGGGAAGTCTCCAGGGAGGCTGTTGGTCAATGGAGTGGAAGGAGAAGTTACATGAAGCAAACCCAAGTGCAGCTCATGCTTGCTGGAGCCCACTGGGTTACCCCTGGCCCAAGAAAGTTTGAGAAATCTATCATAGAGGAGGCTCCAGATTCCCCAGGTGAGGAAGAGGAGGCATATAGAAATCTCTCCATTAGTACACATGGAAGAACAGCTTTCTAAATCAAATGATTTGCTAGGAATGGAGACAAGACACAATGGGACATGTGCATTTGCAGATGGCAAAATCATAGGGATCAGCAAGGATATACCTGGGTCACCCCAGGACCAGGAGGTGGGTGCTGTAGGCTCAGTGGTTGCAGGGAGCTCATGGTCAACACCACAGGGAACAAGGAGAGGAGCCACATGTCTTATTAGTGTGCTGTGCTCACTCAGTTAGGCAGGAGGTCAATTCCTGAACCTCATCAGGAGGTCAGCAACTACACCTGCCCTCTCAGTGACCCCACCTCACTAAAGACAGTGTCCACTGTTCTCTCCAAATGCTGGGCTGTGGGCAAGGCAGGTCTCACTGCAGGGATGCTGCACAGGGAAGGGACCTGGGCCTCCTCCCTCACTAGCCTGCCCTGCATGCCGTCCTGTCTGCTGTCAGCCTGGCTCTGCTGCTCTGGGGCACTCAGGGGCTCTCAGCCTCAGGCTGCAGCTGAGAGCTGCCTCTGCTCCCAGGACTCACCCCTGGCCCAGCACCTCCATCCTGTCCTCTCCTGGTGGAGACCAGAGGGCAGGACAGGTGAGGGGAGGAGCTCAGGGCAGATTCCCACCCACTGCTGTCCACAGGCATTGGCTGGACAGTCAGGAGGACAAGCAGGGCACAGGGTGGGGAGGGCAGTGGGCACACAGCAGGAAGCCCCTCCCCTCCTGAGACCCTGCTCCCTCCTCTCCTGCTCAGTCTGTAGCCCCCAAATCTCACAGAGATGAGAGAAGAACTAGTCCTGAGAACAAAGGGGGCTCTTCTCCTGGATGTGGGGAACCCCGTCCTCAGCCCTGGGCTCTGTTCAGTCATCACTGAGGGCTTCTCCTTCAGGGCTGGGAGGTGGACCTGGGCCTCTTGCATGCTGGGCACGTTCCTGCCACTCTGACACCCTCCCAGGTGCAGGGAGGAAGGGCTTGGAGGAGGCAGGGCTGGGCTCAGGAGGGTGGGCTCCCCCTCTGACAGCCCTCCAGCTCCCCTGAAACTACCTGCTCTCCTCTCACAGGTAAAGCTCCACTTGGGCTCAAGACAGGGACACATCTCAGGAGCACAGAGGACCTGGGCAGCCTGACCTCAGCCTCTCCAGATATCAGAAGAGCCTCACCCACATGCAAATCCCTCCTCCTGCTCTGGGTTCAAATGCCCTCTGGGCTGTGGGAGCTCCCAGCTCTCTGCTCAGACAGGGCTGAGGTCTCTGGGAAGGCAGGTGTGGTCTAGAAGATGAGGCTGGTGGGTCTTGTCCTGTGCCTGGTCACAGCCCCCCAAGGTGAGTGTCCTCCAGTGTTAGACCTGGGTCCATGGGGACGTTGTGACTGCAGGTGACTAATAGGGTGTTACTGTCTTTGTCCCCAGGTGTCCTGTGCCAGGTGCAGCTACAGGAGTCAGGACCTGGCCTGGTGAAGCCCTCACAGACCCTGTCCCTCACCTGTGCTGTCTCTGGTTACTCCATCACCAGTAGTTCCTGCTGGAGCTGGATCCGGCAACCCCCAGGGAAGGGGCTGGAGTGGTTAGGTTGCATATGGTATGATGGTGATACTAGGTACAGCTCATCACTCAAGAGCCGAGTGTCCATATCCAGAGACACATCCAAGAACCAGTTCTCCCTGCAGCTGAGCTCCCTGACCACCCAGGACACAGCCACCTATTACTGTGCCAGAGACACAGTGAGGGGACCTCAGGGTGAGCCCAGACACAAACCTCCTGCAGGGCACCCAGGGCCAGCAGGTGGCGCTCAGCACACAGGAGCTCAGGTCAGCCCAGGAGCAGGTGCAGAGGGAGGTGGGGTCCCTTCACCTCAGTCACCTACTCTCTCTCCAGGCAGCTCCTTCTGGGGCACGACCATCAATAGTCTTCTGGAGATGCCCGTGTCTCAGGACACCACAAACTTTATAGTTCTTCCATCAAGTTTTCCATAAGAAAGAAAGGCTCAAATATAAGTTTTCTGATGAATACTTTGATTACTATAGTGTCTGCAACCTGGTGCCATTTATGCAAATCTGTGACATTTCATTCCCCCTCTACATCACATGGATCTCCAGGGCCTCCTTCCAACACCTGGCTAATCCATTATTATATTATATTGTCCCCAATATTATATCATTATTCATTTTATTTCTATTTGTCCTTTATTTTTATTTGTAACTTTTGCATTCTTTTTGACAAAGTGATAAAAGCATTTAACATAAGTTGTATAATTCAGGCCCCAATATGTCCCTTTTCCCCCCCTCTCCCCTTCTCTTGTCACCTCCCCTTAACTCTACTGATCTTTCTGCAACTTAAGGATAGATTTTTTTATTAGTGTTTTCTGGATTTACTGCTTGGGGTCATCACTTACCTGTACTAATATGTAAATAAGAAAGACTGCTAAGATTCATTCCACTGCTCTTCCCCTATGCTCTCCCTCCTCCCTTTCCCAAAATGAAAACAAAAAGTGCTGTAGACGTGGTTCTGGACTCATGATAAGTCCCCAGGAAAAGTCAAACAAGAGGAGGACTCACACACTTTGGTTTTATGTCAATAAACTAAGTCTCAGAGTAGAGCAAGTGCTTCCTACAGAGGTACATTTGGGTCCTCACTGGGTGGTGGTATCTTGCTGTTCAATCTACTACCCATTTTCCTTCCTGTGACATAAATATGACTCTTCTCCATTGTCTCAGCTCTCCATCACACCCACAATTATCATCTGTTAATTCCCTGATTATTTCTGCTACTTGGGATTGAATCCAGAAGGACTTTACAATGAGCTGAATTCCAAGGTCTCTCACAAGGGACTTTGCTTTTGAAACATGGTCTTGCTAAGAAGCCCAGCTGGCCTCAAATCTGCAATCCTCCTATGTCAAATCCTGAGGAGCTGTGATCAGAGGGGGGCCTGGTCATGCCTGGAAAACAATTACATTATTAATAACTACAAGGTTTTTTTTTAAGTAGGTATAGGTAGCACCTTTTTTTAAATTTTTATTTTATTTTTTTTTAGTCATACATGACAGCAGAATGTATTTTGGCATATAATACATACATGGAATGTACATACACCAATCATATTTTCTATTCTATTCTGCTACCCTTCCTATCCCCCCCTACTCCTCCCATCCTCCTCTCCCATCCTTTATCTCTATTCAATCAAATGTGATACACTTTTATTTCTTTTTCTCATTACAACATCATATATATATTCTTTATAACAATGAGGCTCTCCTTCCATCTTCTGTGCAACTCCTCTTATCCCTCTTTTTCCCTCCCACCTCTCTTCTCTATTTAGTGGTAGTCTTCTTCTCATGCTCTTCCTCCCTACCCCAGTTTGAGTCACCCCCCTTATATCAGAGAAGACATTCGGCATTTATTTTTTAGGGATTGGCTAACTTCACTTAGCATAATCTGCTCTAATGCCATCCATTTGCCTGAAAATGACATGATCTTGTTATTTTTTAGTGCTGAGTAATATTCCATTGTGTATAAATGCCACATTTAAAATCCATTCATCTATTGAAGGGCATCTAGATTGGTTCCACATTCTAGCTATTGTGAATTGTGCTGCTATAAACATTGATGTGGCTGTGTCCCTATAATATGCTCTTTTTAGGTCTTTTGGGTATAGTCTGAGAAGGGGAATAGCTGGGTCAAATAGTGGTTCCATTCGCAGCTTTCCAAGGAATCTCCATACTGCTTTCCAAATTGGCTGCACCAATTTGCAGTCCCACCAGCAGTGTATGAGAGTATCTTTTCCCCCGCATCCTCACCAGCACTTATTGTTGTTTGACTTCATAATGTCTGCCATTCTTATTTGAGTGAGATGGTATCTTAGAGTAATTTTAATTTGCACTTCTCTGACTGCTAGAGATGGTGAGCACTTTTTCATGTATTTGTTGATTGATTGTATATCCTCTTCTGAGAAGTTTCTGTTCAAGTCCTTGGCCCATTTGTTGATTGGGTTATTTCCTTTTTGTTTAACTTTTTGAATTCTTTGTATACTCTAGAGGTTAGAGCACCATCTGATGTTTGAGGGGTAAAAATTTGTTCCCAGGATGTAGGCTCCCTATTCACCTCGCATATTATTTCTCTTGCTGAGAAAAAACTTTTGGTTTGAATACGTCTCACTTGTTGATTCTTGGATTTAACTCTTGTACTATAGGTGTCCTATTAAGAAATTTGGGGCCTGCCCCCATGTAATGAAGATTAGGGACAACTTTATCTTCTATTAGACAGAGTCTCTGGTCTGATTCCTAGCTCCTTGATCCATTTTGAGTTAACTTTTGAGCATGGTGAGAGAAAGGGATTCAATTTCATTTTGTTGCATATGGATTTCCACTTCTCCCAGCACCATTTATTGAAGATGCTATATTTCTCCATTGCATGGTTTTAGCACCTTTGTCTAATATAAGATAGTTGTAATTTTGTGGATTTGTCTCTGTGACCTCTATTTTGTACCATTGGTCTACCAGCCTGTTTTGGTGCCAGTATCATGCTGTTTTTGTTACTATTGCCCTATAGTATAGTTTAAAATCTGGAATCACGATACCACCAATTTCACTCTTCCTACTTAGAATTACTTTAGCTATTCTGGGTCTCTTGTTTTTCCAGATGAATTTCATGATTGCTTTTTCTATTTCTGCAAGGAATGTCATTGGAATTTTGATGGGAATTACATTGAATCTGTAAAGTGCTTTTGGTAGTATGGCCATCGTAATAATATTAATTCTATCAATCCATGAGCAAGGTAAATCCTTCAATCTTCTAAGGTCTTCGTCTATTTATTTCTTCAGGGTTCTGTAGTTTTCATTGTATAGCTCTTTCACCTCTTTTGTTAAGTTGATTCCCAGGTATTTTATTATTTTTGAGGATATTGTGAATGGAGTAGTTGTCCTCATTTCCATTTCAGAGAATTTGTCACTGATATACAGGAATGCCTTTGATTTATTGGTATTGATTTTATATCCTGCCACTTTGATGAATTCACTTACTAGTTCTAGAAGTTTCTTGGTTGAACTTTTTGGGTCTGCTAGGTATAGGATCATGTCATCAGCATATAGTGCTAATTTAAGTTCTTCTTTTCCTATAATTATACCTTTAATTTCTTTCATCTGTCTAACTTCTCTGGGTAGTGTTTCAAGAACTATGTTGAATAGAAGCAATGAGAGAGGGCATCCCTGTCTTGTTCCAGAATTTAGAGGGAATGCCTTCAATTTTTCTCCATTTAGAATGATGCTGGCCTGAGGCGTAGCATATATAGCTTTTACCATGTTGAGGTAATTTCCTGTTATCCCTAATTTTTCTAGAGTTTTGAACATAAAGCGATGCTGTATTTTGTCAAATACTTTTTCAGCATCTATCAAGATCATCATGTGGTTCTTATCTTTAAGTCTATTGATGTGGTGAATTACATTTATTGATTTCCGTATATTGAACCAGCCTTGCATCCCAGCGATGAATCCCACTTGGTCATGGTGCACAATCTTTTTGATATGTTTTTGTATCTGATTTGCCAGAATTTTATTGAGGATTTTTGCATCTAAATTCATTGGGGATATTGGTCTGAAGTTTTCTTTCTTTGAAGTGTCTTTATCTGGTTTTGGAGTCAGAGTGGTGTTGCCCTAACAGAATCAATTTGGAAATACTCCCTCTTTTTCTATCTCCTGAAATACATTGAAGAGTATTGGTATTAGTTCTTCTTTAAAATTCTTGTAAAATTCTGCTGTATATCCATCTGGTCTGGTCTTTTCTTGGTTGGTGTTCTTTTGATGGCTTCTTCTATTTCCTCACTTGATATTGGTCTGTTTAGGTTTTTTATATCATCCTGACTCAATCTGGGTAGCTCATATGCCTTAAGGAATTTATCGATGCCTTTAGTATCCTCTATTTTATTAGAATAAAGGGTTTCAAAATAATTTCTAATTATCTTCTGTACTTCTGAAGCGTCTGTTTTGATGTTGTCTTTTTCATCCCTTAAGCTAGTAATTTGGGTTCTCTCTTTTATTCTCTTTGTTAGCAAGGCTAGTGGCCCATCAATCTTATTTAGTTTTTCAAAGAACCAACTTTTAGTTTTGTCAATTTTTTTGATTGTTTCTTTTGTTTCAATTTCATTGATTTCAGCTCTGATTTTAATTATTTCTTGCCTTCTATGGCTTTTGCTGCTGATTTGTTCTTTTTTTTTTCTAGGGCTTCGAGGTGTAGTGTGAGGTCATTTATTTGTTGGATTTTCCTTCTTAAAAGAAGGAATGAACTCCATGAAATGAATTTTCCTCTTAGTACTGCTTTCATAGTGTCCCAGAGATTTTGATATGTTATGTCTGAGTTTTTATTTACCTCTAAGAATTTTTAAATTTCCTCTTTGATGTCTTATGTAACCCTTTGTTCATTCAGTAGCATATTGTTTATTCTCCATGTGATGTAGAATTTTTTCTTTCTTATTTTATTATTGATTTCCAATTTCATTCCATTATGATCAGATAAAATGCATGGTAGTATCTCTACTCCTTTGTAATTGCAAAGATTTGCCCTGTGACATAATATATGTTCTATTTTTGAGTAGGATCCATGTGCTACTGAGAAGAAAGTGTATCTGCTTGATGTTGGGTTGTATATTCTGTATATATCAATTAAGTCTAAGTTATTAATTGTATTATTGAGCTCTATGGTTTCTTTATTCAACTTTTGTTTGGAAGATCTGTCC